CTTTTGTAGTTTATTTTTTTTTCTTTTTCTTGTCTGTCTGGTTTTACTTAGGTGTGGCTCCTTCTCCAGCACAGCCTGTCCTTGAATTCAAGACCCTCTGGTCTCAGGCTCTGCTACAGTTACAAGCACAAACCACCACACTGGGGTATGAAGTTACCCAGTTTCTCCTGAGGTTTCTGAAAGCTCACAGATAGGGTCACAGTGCTGGGCTAGTGGCCCTATGGACAGGCCACTACATGCAGTGCTCTTTCACAGCCCCCTTTTCTCTTTTAAATGAACAAACACCAGGGAGAATCCTACTATTTCTCCTGAATGGAGGTTTCAGCCCTGTTATGCACGGTCTTATGACTATAGACCTTACGGATCACTCCCTGTGGCATCCTGCCTGCAGATGATAAAGGCAGAGGAGAGGACTGATTCGGATGCCACTAGTTGACGATGGCGCCTGCAGTCACCTGATTTCCCACCTGAGTTCCACTTTTTAGGGGTTTCTCTCTTTATAGAGGCCATTCCATCCTCCTGAGGGGTAGATACAAACACTGCAGCACTTGGAAAAGCTGAGAAGAAACAGCACACATTTTAAAACCACCGCCTTCACCACTGCACTTAACTTGGCCACAAATCACTGTGTAAACGTGAGGCTGAAGTACACACTAGTTCTTGCAGGTGTAAGCACTGTCAAACTCAGTGCATTATAAGGTGCTTTAGGCCAGACTCTGGGTCTTAGACGACCTTCTGTATAACACACAGAGCTTAGCCGGTGCCTTGAACATACTACACGCGCAGTAACTTCGGGTAGTGTAAACACAGGGGCGTGATCACCAGCAAGGTTTGTAAATGACAGCCAACACGTATTAACAGGGCAGCTATTGGACTGTAGGCTAATGCCCATGAGGCCACAACGAATCCTGACGTCTTAGACTGCTGTATACCTTTCACATGATTGCACTCTCCAGGGATTTTATCCCATGCTGATTATAGAAATTCCATGTTCTATAAGAACTGTATAAATTGATGATCAACCAACTTGCTCAATTAATGGGATTATTCTTCTAGAAGTGCACATTGTCAAATTAAAGTAAAGCCCATTATTATAATTATTACAAGGGTACAGTTATTCTATACAAAGCTCTTCAATGGAAACTTGGCGAGTGTTCTATGGGGACTATTCACAAATCCTCATCATTGAATGCTAGAAAAGATAAACACAAAAGTTATCCACACTGGAAATCTCCCTACTGGCTAGCTTTTACAGAGCTAGAAGAAGTTATGCAGGGGGCTGAGGGAGAAAAATGGAGCAACAATGTTACCCAGCTGTGAATCCTAGGAACTATGATACCAACTTGCCAGGTGAGATGTGCCCACTTGACTATCGTGGCATGACCGTTACAGAGGTAACCAACATCTCCCTGATTTGAAGTCCGCTTCTCAACTCCATGCTATAAGTCCCAGTCAAAAGCCCATGGCACTGGGTCTGTCACAGACACTAGAGGGAATTCAATTTGGTTTTTTAACTAAATTAACAAAGTGTAGAACACCTGCAAGTGTTGATGAGCCCCCCTAAGGGTGTGACTGTTGGAGAGATGATCCTTAAGAGAGATTTTATCTTTTGCCACCTCTGGCAGTCAGAAAATCTACCCACAGGAGAGCCATCCCTGCCCCTCACCAGCTGCAGCACTTAGGAAAGTGGGCCCTGCCTTTTGCTTGGGCAATACCATGCAGCTGGCCTTGATGGCGAAGGCAAGGGCAAGTCAGCCCTGAGGGTGTGAGAGTGGGAGAGCTGGCCCAGCCCCTTACAGTGTGCAGCACTTGGGAGGTGGAGCCCCAAACCTTGACCTGGTCAATACAATGGAGCTGTCTGTGGAGGCAAGGGTGTGGGTGAGCTAGTCCCGTGGGCATGAAAGCAGGAGAGCTGGTCCTGCCTCCTGCCGATAGCAGCATTGGGTGGCCTAGCTGGAGCAGGGCTGGAGAGCTCACCCTGGTGGTGCAGGTAAGGGAGAGCCAGGGGCTGACCAGCTCAGCAACCAGCTGGATCCAGGGCTCTGAATTTTCCCACCCCAAAATCTCTATCATCTGTGAATGGTTGGGAAACATGAAAGGGCCAGTCCTGCTGTTCCAAAGCTTCGGGAGCTCCATGACACAGGGCGACAACAGGATAGCCAGGAGTCCCGGTGAGGATCCAATATTGGTGCTGTCACAGAAGCCAGAGATCTCGAACCGGACCAGTGACTCATTGCGGTGAACAACTGCAAGTGAAGATGTGTGGACAGAGGCCTATACTGTGGGACACGCTGACTCACTACACCCTCCATGATGAGATGTTTTCTCTGCTTTGTTTTTGGTGTTGTTTGCATGCTTGCTTGTGTGTTTTATTTGTGGCGGGGGGAGGTTGCATGGGTGAAGGGCAGATATGAGGGGACAGGGAGATGAGCCGGACTGGGGTACATGATGTGAAACTCACAAAGAACCAATAAAACATTTTTTTTAAGTATGGGAAGAGCATAAAGTTATCAAATAATTAACTTGAGACAAGATATGAAAGCGTTCCCAGCACCCAGACTTCAGTCTCACACAGCCTCGGCAGCTCGGAGGTTAAAGCAGACTAATGCTCATGAGGTCTCCAGCTCAGTGTGGATGCTCGGTTCTCAGCATGGCAACATTTAGGAAAACACAATGTCCTCAGTCCAATACCCCAAAGGCAGGGTGCAAACAACTCTAACTCTTCTGACCCGAGCATAGTCTCTAGAAGAGGGAAGCGAAAGGCTCGGCAATTTCCCGTTAGTACTGCTCTGCTCATCAGAGCGGAAGTAACACGTTCACGCTCGGCCCATCCTGGGCCGCAGACATCATCGTCTCAGAGGCCACACTGTGTATTCCCTGAAAGTCACACAGCACAGCTGACACCGTGTTCTGCCCAGCAGCCTCAACAAACAAGTGTTAAGCTTCTTCATGTTCAACTCCGGGCAAGTGAGCACTCGGTTCTATTCCTCACAGGTGCTCTATTCCAGAAAGCAAAGCAAAGAAGCAAGAGAGACGCACTAGAGAGGAGAAACTGAAATCGTTCACAGCTATCAGAATATTCCCTCCAGGAAGCCCAAGTCTTTCTTATTTCTGTTGGCCTCTGTTACAAAGTACATTTCTCCAATATTTACATTAAAGTCTCTTCATTTCTCCACCACCTTGGGAGAAGTCAGCAAAAAGGGGAGAGGGGACCAGTGTGGTATTGAGTGGCAGGCAATGTTTGGTTCTGTATTGTTTTGATCCTGGGGTACCCAGGTGTACCAGGTGATAATATTAGGGGTGCTACGGAGTTTAGAAGCTTTTCGATGAAGAAACTGTTTTTACCACACACTTATTAACAATCTCAACCTGAAGAATGGACCACATGCCAGCTTATACCGAAACTCCTTAGCAAGTGCTAACAGCCAAAAACTAAAAAACAATCCAACTCCCCCCGTCCTTCCCCTTCAGCCTACCTTTCTTTCCCCCAATTATAAGGAGAAGCTTAAAAGAGTAGCAAGAGGACCAAATTCAAAAGGAGAAATGAGCTTGAATTTAGGGCTTCCACAGCCTTGGGAAGAGACCAAGTTCAGATGGTCAGTGCATGGTAAACTCTAAAGACAGCCTCTGAGATTGCAGTTTTCATTAGAAACTGCTCAACTGTGGCAGATAACACAAAGGCATTGTCTTTTGTGGGTTTATATTTAGTTTCTTTCTGCCAAGAGCCATCCACGAGCAATTTTTTCTCTTAACCCAGAAATCCTGCAGAGGCTGCTGGTTAGTGGAGAAAGCAACAAGTGCCTTTCATAGACACAGAAATAGAACGGAACAACCCATCATTGGGCTGACTGGGCTCAAACATATTAAGACATATAATGACAATGGACTGGTGGCTGATGGCAAATGGCCGTTCTGATGGATGCTTTTGTAGGGGTGCTCACTTAACAAAATCACAGGGTACCGAAACCGAGTGCCGTGTGTCCCTCTCTCCCCTAAGACTGGGACCATAGATATTATTCCCTTTGTATCTCCATCAGCATAAATGGTACCTGGTATATAGAAAGGGTCTAAATTCTTTTAGCTAAAAGGCCTCGTTACATATATTTTAAAAGACAACACATTTGCTAAGGATTAAGTCATCTTAAGGTCTAGCCTCTGAAGTACTCCCTCATGACGAAGCTGATCTCTTGAGGCTGGTCTTCCTCTCTTGAGTGGCCATTGTGATTGCTTTCCCAGGTACAACAGAAATGCAACATGGAGCCATCAGATCAATTCACTGGTACCTGCCCAGGGTAGTTCAGGATTCTTTACCTCCCTCCTTCCGTGTGGCTATTTGGAAAGAGCATAGGGCCAAGACCTTATCAAAAACAACTCCAAACACCCAGCGCAATAAGGAAGGTCGCGTTTACTGAGCTACCACATACTAAGAATATTCCAAAATTCCCACATAGCTGCCAAAGAGGTACAGTTGGCACAGATGCCAGGCAGAGACATGGTAACGTGAGCAGGCTCACTGGAGAACATCATCACTTCCTCCAATGCCACCTCCGCTGGGCTAATTTACCCACACAATGCTCAGTGCCTTTGGGGTGAAAATCTTGTGCCCTCTCCAGCCAGGCTTATATTCACTGGTTCCCTCCCAGCCCTGTTCCCACAGTGACCCTCCCTTTCTAGCCTTTCTATCCATCAGCCTCCCAATGCAATGGCTTCTACGATCATCCCAGCCCACTCTGGCTTCGCACGGATCTGCTCGCTGTGTCTCCGGGATGAAGACTCACCGAAGCCAAGGTTCATGCTGTGCAACTTGAACAACCAAGATGCCTCCTGCTGCACCGTGTCTGACATTCCCAAGACACACAAGAGCTGCCTATTTGGGTAGCCCTCTTGCACTAGACATGAAAGGCTTCTGTGTACCCGGTAGGATCCCAGAGTCAGTAGAAAGACCTCTTTTTTTTTGACAGACAGCAGTAGGTGTTAGACTAAAGGCGGGGATCACTCACTTCACTTCTGGAGGCGACAGCACGGTGCAGCGGGGTCAGCCACATGTTGTCCTTGGCATTGACGCGAGCTCCTGCAACCAAACAGCACAAGTTAGGGCATAGCGGAATCACGGGCTGTGTGCGGCTCCTATCTGCCTGGTCTCACCAGCAAGCCTTTTCTTTGTGTAAGTTGTAATTCACTTGTGTGCATACACGCACCCCTCGCGCATGCCTGGTACCCTCGGCACTGGAGACACTGATGGGTGTGAATGACTGTGAAGGTGCTGGGAAGCAAAGCCAGGTCTTCCGCACGCTCCAGCAAAGGCTCTAAGCCGCCAGACCCTCCCTCCAGGCTCCAAATGCACACTTTTTCATTTTAATTGTCTTTACGTTTATCTGTACGTATGCACGCGCGGAGGTCAGAGTTCTCGCTCTCCACTAGGTTCTTGGAATCTAAAGATAAAACTTAGATTGTCAGGGTTGGTGTTTGGTTGTGAACACCTTCACATACTAAGTCTTCTTGCTGGCCTCACAAGCACGCTCTTTTTCTTCCTTAAAACAAGTGTGTGTGTGTGTGTGTGTGTGTGTGTGTGTGTGTGTGTGTGTGGTCTGTATGTATGAATGTATCTGGTATGTGTGTGAGTGTGTTGTGTGTGTGTTGAATGTGTGTATCTGGTTTGTATGTGAGTGTGATGTGTGTGTGAGTGTGTGTGTGCTACATGTCTGTGGGAGTCCACAGAGGACAAAAGGGCATCATATCCCCTGGAGCTGGAATTGCAGGCAGCTGAGAGTCACCTCCTGTGGGTGCTGGGAGCTGAACTCGTCCTCCGGGAGAGCAGCAAGGTCTCTCCCCACTGGGCTTTCCCTCCAGCCTCATCAAGCAGATTTGTAAAAGTGAGGGAGACTCAAGTGTTATTTAATCCTAGGAATAAGGAAACCCAGGTGTGATTTTAACAAAAGTGAATTCTAGAATAAAAGCCCCATTGCTGAGATGGAAATCTGAGATGTTTTCCCCTGAGTGTCAGTGCCAGCAGAGTGTGAGGTCTCACGGCTGCTGTGTGGCCTCTGGCTCAGACAGGAAGGGCGTTGTCCTCGAAGCTCTAGCAGAGCATCCCGGAAGCTAGTCAACCTTTCCAAGCACCGCCTTTTCTTACATCTCCACTGGGTACACAAAGCGTGTACACCAAGCGTGTACACCGTGTGTTAGCTACGTGTACGGCGATTATGTTCACAGCTGTTTCTTCAGCACTGAGGTGGCAAGGATCACGCGGGCGTCACACCCTCCTGAGAGCTGGGCCCAGACCGACCGCCCACACTTTGATGGGGTGCATCTTGAGCTTTCTTTCTTTCTTTTCCCGTAAACACAGAAGGTTGATGCAAGAACACACATACATACACACCACACAGACACACCATATATCTACACACAGACACACCACACATACACACACAGTTACACACACCACACAGATACACACACTCACACACATACATGGACACGCTTTACACAGCACATACACAGACACCACCCTGCTGAAACTGGGGAGGTAGCTCATTCAGTAAAGTGCCTGTCATGCAAGCATGACACCTCCATTCAGATCCTCAGGACCCGTGTGTTCCCATCCTCAGGCTGAGGGTGGAGACAGACAGCCTCTGGTACCTGCTAGCTGGTACACCAACTGATGACCACTAAGCTTGCGTGAAGAGAGACCCATCTCAGGAATAACATGGAGGAGGAAGAGGACAACCAATCTTGACCTGCGATGCCCACACCCCCGCCTAAATGCCTACAAGCACACACACACAAACAACCCAAGTATACTCGCCACACATACACACAATAACCAAAACAACTCTCCTGAAGAATTTCATTCTGTTTTGTTCTTTGAGACAGGATTTAGCGCTGTTGCCAGCTGACCTGGAGTTCACTGTGGAGTCCAGGCTGGCCTTGAACTCACACCAATCTTCAGATCTCAGCCTTTCAAGTCCTGAAGTTACAGGTGTGTGTCACCATGTCTGGCTAAAATTTAAAGTGTGTGTGAGTGTATGTTTTTACATAAACTGTATTGTTCTCACACCTTTAATTTCCTTGTTCCACTTAACAAGGTATATTTTATATCTAGGCTGCCATCGAGTGAGTCAATTTCTTTTCGTTGCTACATGTATTTCAACACAAACATGTCATTTTTTTTTTAGACAGTTCCTCTTGCGACAGATAGTTTGGTTACTCCCAATAACTTTCCAAAAACTATAAATAACTGGTATTCATAAAGTGACTTCTGATAAAAATATTCAAGATAATTAAAGATGGACTTTATGTGTCACAAGCAATGCAAACTTCGTGCTTTGATGGCGTCCTCAGCTCTCCAAAGCACGGCAATTTACACTCAGTGTCTAAGGCTGCTTGGTTTCCATGTGTCTTCATCAATACTTTTTATTACCAGTCACCTCAAGTGTGGCAAAGCTGATCTAATCACACTGCATTGTATGAGGTGAGAGAGCATGTGTTTTATGCTGAACGCTAGAAGGACAGAATCTTCTGGAGGTGGTATTGTTTTGATTGCAGCAATGATTTAATGACTATACACATATGCCTAAACTCACTGAATTATTTGTGTGTATGTATTCATATATACAATATACACGTATGTATATACATGGAGCATACAGTATATTGGTTATACTTTAACAAAACTCCTTCAAAATAACTTAAAATATTGCAAATCTGGTTGGAAGAAAATGCCACCTCATTTTTTTTCTTTAATACTGTGTTTAAACATTTCCCATCGTGTTTGGTTCCTGGTTATAAATACATTTTCTGAGAACTACTTGGTTCCTATTCTTCGCCCATTTCCCCCATGTAACTTTGAAACACACATTGACCGAGCGGGGTGGCTATTGCCATCACTGTTGTGTACTGACCATGCTTACTTTTGTGCAGATACAAGTCTGGCTTTCTGTCTTAAGACTGTCTGAAGGAGGGAAATGCCCCCTGCCTGCTGGCTCTGAGACTCAGGGTGCCAGGTCCACCAATATGAGCCATGTTGTGTACAGGCCCAAGGGAGCTTGAGGAATGGGAGGAACTGCTCCTTAAGTTGCTGCACGCGCCCTCCATTGTGCCTCTCAGGCTTGCCAGGAGGCGGGCTGAGCAGCTGCCAGGAAGGCCTCTCTCTCAGCCTCGAGCTCTGACAGGAGCAGTATTGCCTGCAGGCCATCTCCCCTGGCTCCCCATTCCCTGCCTGGGAACACCTTGGAGACTCTTGTTTACCTCCCAGGATGGGGCGTCTGGGGCGTCAGATGGTTTGAGCTCTTCATTGAATATTCATAACTGATTTTTCCAGAGGAAACCCTGTGTTATGTGCCTGCTTGTCAGGCGCCATCATGCACTAAAGGACAGTCTTCATCACTAAGGGTTTAAAGGCAAATCCTCCTTTACCCAAGGACATTACAATTCTTAATCTCGAAAATAAGTATTAAATATTACAGACTCTTTAAAAACAAGGGATCAGCTAAGAATTAGGAAGCACAGCTCTGCCCACTGACGAGGCGGGGTCTTCATTTTATGTCTAGTCCCTCTTCGTCTTAGTCCCAAGTGGTAGGGAGGAAGGGAACTCTGGAGTCTTCTCTAGAGGTAATATTTCTGTTCTACAAGCCCTGTCATCAAGGAAGAAGTGGAAGGGGGGAAAAGGACTGAGGGGATCAAGATGGACTAACTGATGGGAGAGTCTGACTGATGAAAGGCAATCAATTCATGAGGCAAGTCTGTCCAAAGACCGGCTACTCAGCTCTTTAAGGGAAAGAAACAGGAAAGAGTGTATGAAGTATGATTACAGTATCGTGCAATTGAGTCGCTACCTGATATTTTTCTGTCAAACAGACTATATATTCCTGCAGCTCAGGAGCCCTGTCACCTTGGAAACACGTGTGATAATGTCATGTATGTGGCAACTGCTTGAAACATTTTTCAGACTCTTCCTGAAGTTGCCACTAGAGCCAGCTTGCACACTCGCCAGAAGGCTGCGTGTTAGTACTGGGCCATATGTGTGTCGGTGATCAGTTCTGCTTTGTTTAATCACACTCTTCTACCAGATGTTAAAAAGATCCAAAACTCCACCCACAAAGGATGGCTCTCTGTTAGGCATGAAGGAACAGAAGAACTGTCCCCCACCAGTTCTGCAGACAACTGGCACTAAAACTAGGAAACTCAGTTGAGGGGGGAAAATATCACAATCATTTTGCTAAACTATCACTTGACCGATGGCACACATTCTGGTACATGTGTTTATTATTTTATTTACTTTGCGTGTTTGTGCAGGCGGGTAGATGGTTGTGTGTGTGTGTGTGTGTGTGTGTGTGTGTGTGTGTGTGTGTGTACATGTGCCTATGTGCCGGTACACACGTGTGGAGGCCACAGGTCAACCTCTGGTATTGTTCTCCAGCCTTGTCCACCGTGTTCTTTGAGACAAGGTCTCTCAGTGGGACCTGGGGCTCACCAATTAGGCTATCCTGGCTGGCCAGCTGACAGGGCATCCGACTGTCTCTTATTTCCTTGATTCTGGGATTACAAGCACACATTCCCATTCCCAGTTATTTATATAGCTGCTGAAAATCAAACTTAGGTCCCATGCTTGTGCAGAAAGCACGTTGCTGACTGAGCTTTCTCCCCAGACCCTTTAGCAAATTTACGCTGTACTGAATAGTTAGACCTGACAAATTCACATGTTAGAGCACAAATATTCACTTTATTTTCCAACCCAAGACTCCCTCACCCTTGTCCATCCCAGTTTTTCTGTAAGACATTCTTCTGTGGCTATTTTCCTGTGGGCTCTGTTTTCCTTACCTCAACCCTGACCTCCATGCTCCACCACTGACTAGTTCTCACTGCCCGTCCCCTCCCCACCTTCCACACACCACTACCACCACCACCACCACCACCACCCACCCACCTCGATCCTGATCTGGCCAGTTCCCAAACAGAAGCTGAGTCAGACGAGGAAATCAAGCCAGAGTGACAGCAGGGATAAGAAGGCAGAAAGAACCCGCAGAGCCTGTTCATCATGAAAACATTCCCCCACCCCTCCGCCCCGCCAACACGTGTGTTCAGAGACACTGGGGTTCCGTCTGCCTGGCTGACAGGAGACGAAGTCAGCTTAGTGAGTTTGGGTCTCAGCATGCCCTGAGAGTTTGCTCAGCAGCAGAGAGCACAGCTGTAACAAGCTATTCTGGCAAGGTCAAATTATTTGTCCAACATGGGAGTCATTAGCGCCTCATTCATTATGAAATGAGAAAACAGTGTGGTTGGATTCCCCAAAGGGTCAGCTGCCAGATGAAATCTCAGAACCGAAATCACCGTAGTCGAATGATATTTCTTTAGGGATGTTAAATATAAATTGGACAAAAGTCCTTTCAGGGAAAATGAAAGCTACATGTTCTGTAGAAGTTGGCCTCTGTTGAACAGAATTGCTAAAGAACTTTCTCAGTTGGATAGGAAGGAGGGAGGGAGGGAGGGAGGGAGGGAGGGAGGGAGGGAGGGAGGGAGGAGAAAATGCCACAGCAAACTGAATCAAAGTTATGCTAAAAAGATTAACAGATCAGTAACACTAACAGCAAATGGGTGTGCATGATGCATGCAACAGCTTCTTGATGCTCTGGGATCGGCCACAGGTACAGAAGACCAGGACTCCTGTGCCATGTGAAGGTGACATGAGGCCAAGTTTGTTGAGAAACAGCGGTCTCGTTGGGAGTGACCCTTACGATGCAGGATTTAAACCTCCCCTTCCAAAGCTGAGACAACTTTACTTGTTCTTAGATATTCCCCCCCATTCTCCTGCCCTTGCCCCCTCCCTAGGATATAACTTTTTAAAGATTGAGTATGTGTGTGTGAGAGAGTATGTGTGTATGTGTTTGATGTGTACCACATGTGCAGATACTGGCAGAAGACAAAAGAGGGTGTCGGAGCCCTGGGAGCTAGAATTCCAGGGAGTTGTGAGGTGCCTGATGTGGGTGCTGGAAGCTGAGCTCACGTCCTCTGGCATGTGGCTCTGAACCACTGAGCCATCTCTGCTGCCTTGGACCCGTCAGACACAAGCTGAACATCCTTCATCCAAACTGCCTGAGCCAAAAGTTTGCAGAGTTTTAATTTGGAGGGGAGAATTTTGGTTTGTTTGACCAAGGCCTACATGAGGTTCAATTCTTCGTTATATACCTTAGACATATTTTAGTGTATCTGCATCTTGGCAATGGCCTGTCACCATCAGGTCAGGGGTAGAATTTCCCTCTTGTGGCATCATGTCAGCACTTGGAACATTTCTGGACTTTAGACTTTCAGACAAGGGAGTGAATGATGTCTTGGTGGTAGTGACATTATTGCTTGGGGTCGTTAGGTGTTTTGTCACACACGTCTTTGTTTTACACATTGATTCTGTCAACAATTTCCCATAGGCCAAGTTTCGGCTGCGAGGGTAAGCATCCAGGGCTGCACTGGCTCTTGGCCGTGGTCTGTGCCAACAGCTCACAATGGGTGCTTGTTTGGAACACGGCCCAGAACACCCCCGGGTTGTCAAACGGAAGATCTGCTCTTCAGAGAACAAGAAATGTCCAGAAAACTCTAAGCGTGCCGGAGCACAAACACTCTTGTTTTCACATACATCATACCCAATTCCTGGGTAGAGCTACCCAAAGAATGGGGACACCACAAACCCGAGAATACCAGGAGCTTTCCTTGCAGCACGGCAGCGTTCTGTCTTTGCCACGGTGCATTTCAGGCGTGTTGCACACCTGCTCTCATGCATTGTGTACTTTGGGACGTCAACATTCCCCCCCTTACTGCTGCAGACAAAGGCAACTCCTTCACACTGGCCTAGCCTAGTTCGTTGACAACGGCATTTCCTCCATATTTTAATCCCTCCAAACAAAAACCAGGAGAAGGAAAAGCTGAGAGGCTGCATACAGTCCGCAGCAAGGCACGCGTGTGGTGCTCGGGTTTATCCTAGGCATTTGCCTAGCAAGCAATCAAATAAAAAAAAAAAAAAAAAAAAAAACACGTAATGGTTTTGGAAACCTGTTTGGTGAGCTGTACTTAACATAGAAGAGTTTAGAAATGAAAACATTCACATCTTTAAATCTGATGAAATGTGAAAAGTACAGAGGAGTGAAAAAGAGAATCTCATAGACCAGAAGATATAAGGATTAGACGTGACATGATTCACTTATTTGCACCTAGTTTTTAAAAATGTGAAATACCTGATAGAGTTGTAGTAACCCCTTTTATGTCTTTTCATGAGGATATCGCAACACCGCCCCTGTCTACTTAGAGAAACCTCTATTTAGAAACTGACATGGCTCACTTATGTCTGTTTTCTCACTTTTATTGTAGTTATAGTTGCGTATTATTTTTGCAATTTTAAATATACATAAATATATGCCCTTATTATATACACTGTGCTACACAGAGCATATAAACTCATATAGGATATATGTGTGTGTGTTCACGTAGACTTTAGACAGTTTTCTTTTCTCACAATTAAAAAAAAATCAAGATATCCAAATGTACTGAATTTGTCTATAATGCCAAATCTGACAAGATAGACAGGAGTCAGACTTTCAAAGCAATATAAAAATATTTTATTCAAGAATCATTGCCAAACAACAATTTCTTTTATTGTATTTCTTGTACAGTCAAGTTGCTGGTCAAATAAAACTTTGATGAACAAAGCAAAGAAATTCTGTTTCATTCATTGTAATTACCAATCTAGTAAATTGGTCGTTCAAGCTTCCACGAGCAATTGGTTTTTGAATACAGTAGTTATTTACCTGACAAAATCAGGAGTTCAATGATCTCTGCATCTCCCAGGAAGGCAGCCACGTGAAGCGGAGTTCGTTTCTCAGAATCCTAAAATGAACAATTTCAACATCAGTCAGAGGAAGCTGGGTATTAAGATGCCTCCCTCACTCTGAGGTTCACACTTGTAGAAGAAGGCTTGGAGGCCAACCTATACAGGCGACTTTAACAAAAACCCATGAGCAACCACTTTTCTAGTGGCTGGTCAGATATTACAAATGACTCCCCAGAACAGTCTAAACTTTTGCCACTGCCCTTGGAGTCCTCTCAAAGGATCAAGCTAAGCCCCTCTTGCTAAAGACATTGCATGCTTAGGACACAAGACACAGATTACTGCAGAGGGAGAGAAGCACAATGGTCTACTCAGTTGTAGGACCTGTGCACAATGTTGACCAGTATGGCAAGGTATCCCATGGTGCAACAGTAGCCTTCGCAGTGGCAAGGCCTTCTGAGGACATTGTTGCTTGAGGTGAAAGCTAAGGCAGCTCTGCTATCACTGTCTGTACACAAGAAAACTGGCTCAGTCTGTGACTATGAATAATGGCATGGGGCAGAAGCTCAGCCACTTACATGACCATAGAAACTATAGGGCTGCATCACGCCAGCTTTAAAAATAAAGCTACATTATTTTTAAAATGTGCGTGCTAAAATGAGAATCAGGTATATTAATTTGGGCAATGAACTTTAAAACCCCTCTGTAGTGGACGTTTTGGCGTCTTTAAAAACTCAGTTATGGGGGCTGGAGAGATGGCTCAGAGGTTAAGAGCACTGGCTACTCTTCCAGATGGTCCTGAGTTCAATTCCCAGAAACCTCATGGTGACTCGAAGCCATCTATAATGAGATCTGGTGCCCTCTTCTTGCATGCACGCGTACATGCAGGCAAAATACTGTATACATGATAAACAAACAAATAAACATGTTTTTATATTAATCCCAGGTGTGGGAAATGGGGCTGCTTCAGACTGTCCACAGCAACAGACTATTTGCCTCATGCAGGCTCTGAGAGGGTAGTGATTTTTGCCAGCAGCTGCAGATAGTTTAATTCTGAAGACTCTGGAGAGGGAATATACACCGGAGCCCAGAGAAGGGCAGGAAGCTTGAAGGAAGAAGGTGGTTGCTGAGCGCCCCTGCTGCTCCCGGTTGCTGCTGTTGCCATTGGAGAAGTTGGAGATACCCTGAAATGAAGATTGGACTTGCCCCAAGGAACCCAACAACCCTAACCAGCAAAAAGTAGCTAAAGAGAACTCCACCCTCCTCTCCCCGCTAACCTTCTTTCTCTCCTACCAGTGTTGGGGTGTTAAAAGGGATTAGGGTAGAAAAGGGTTGGAAGGGAGGTAAAGGTAGAAAGAACCACAGTAAAATAGATGAAAAATACATGATACAACCCTCCAAGGTCGAAATTTCCTGAAAGTAAATAACAGCTCTTATTCCTCCTTATCCTTGCGCTGGCAGCATTTCAGACACCCAGGGTCAGCTCCAAATGAGCCAGTCCTCAAGCAGGGTCTCTTCCACTTGAGATTCCTGGGATCCATTGTTGATTCTGTCACTCCTGTTACCACTTGATTATACAATTGACCTAACAACCTTTTACTATCCCAAGGATAATAGTCTCCCAAGATTTTTTTCTCACAGTCCAGGTCCTCTCTTTCCCTCTGTTTCTTTTAGACTGTTGCTTTGTGCATTTCATGTCTGAAACCGACGACAGACAGGGGACATGACAGGGCCTGATCTTCAAACCACTTTAGTTGTTGGAAGACCTAGTGAGTGGTTTTATGGACTGACATTAAGTGAACAAAGAGAGGAGCTTAAATTAGATGGAAACTCATGCCATGCATGTATGTGCAGGCAACACTGCTGATAGCAAAGAACAGTTTGCAACTAAAAAAACAATTGGAAATCTGAGTCGATTATATAACTATAGTGAACCCTGAATTATCCTAGCTTTGAAAACAATGGTGAGTTGCTTGAAAATTTACATACATATATACATACAAAATTTACATATAAGACCCAAGTATATTCTTATAGGCAGTAGACTACAAAACCATTTAAGACACAAATATTTTCTTTCTTCCATTGATTTCCCCATCCCCTACAAACATTTGTTATCTTAACCTCCTGCCTTCTCAAAATCCTCGCTATACCTGCTTAAATTAAGCAAACGTTATACAATTGTGTGCTCTTTGATGAACTGAATTAGACCCAGGACTTGGCTGAACAAATTCAACCTTGCCCAAGTGATTTAAACAATGATAATCCTTGCTCAAATTATGACTTCATTTGACCTGAAGCAAAGTTAATGCTCAGTTTGAGAGCTTGGACTCAAATGAAAAGGAAATAAATTCTGGCATCTCTCCCTGCCTTGCAAATTTGGTTGTTCTATCATTATATGGTTGGGTTTGCTGAAGCTGTAGTTCCTTACAAGACACCACTTGCTCAAACTAAAGGTTCCAATAATAGTAAGAAGCTATGTTGTATGAGATCATATTGTAAAAATTCTTAATATGGGTCCAAGTATTGCTATTAATATGCATTCAAAGGTTTCCTGTAGCTTGCATAAAAACCACTCCAAATGACACTCCCCCACTTCAGTGACATGGAACTGCAATGGAGACCTGTTCACCAAAGCAGCCAAAAACAGTACATCTTCATTGCTGACCACGGTTGCTCACACCTGCTCTCCCACAGGGAATGAGCAATAGACAAGGACCATGAACCAAGGCTGAATGACAGAATCATGGTATCTTTGTGCTCAACAAGCTAAAATTCAAAGGTCATATCACCTTGTCACAAGCCAAACCAATGGTGCCAGAGATGCAGTGATGGGAGACAAGGATAGATGGTGGAAAGGAGACAGCAGTAATGGTGCTACCAGAGATGAGTTCTGGGCTAACGCTACCCTCAAGTGTTTGGAAGAGGCAAGCCCATTTGGTAACTACACCACACTTTCATTTTACCTTTTCCAAAGTGCTTTATTGTAAAACCTCCCTACCATGGGAGACACACAACTTTGTTCTCAAATTGTATTATTGTCATTTAAAAGAGAAAGAATCCAAGCCCTGCACCGGTTATAGGATTTGCCCAACACAGAAAATTGATGCTGAAGAATTATGTGTCATGATCCAAATCTGAAATATTTTTCTTAATAAAAGTGAAAGCAAGGACATCATCTTAGAATTTCCCTTGGCAGTTTAACATCCTTTTGTTCTAGTTTACTTTCTGTTGCTATGGTAAACACCACTACCGCTAGCAACTTGGAGGAGAAGGTGATTTATTTGGTTTATACTTCCAGGTTACAATCCATCACTGAGGGTGGGCAGGGCAGGAACTCAAGCAGAAGCCATGAAGAAATGTTATTTACTGTCTCGTGTTCAGCTGGCTTTCACTCTTTTAGTGTGTGTGGGGGGGGGTTGAGACAGGGTTTCTCTGTGTAGTCCTGGCTGTCCTGGAACTTGCTCTGTAGACCAGGCTGGCCTTGAACTCACTGCCTTTGCCTCCTGAGTGCTAGATTAAAGGTGTGTGCCAATACTGTCCAGCTTCAGCTAACTTTCTTATACAATCCAGATATACCTACCCAAGGATGGCGCTGCCCACGGTGGGCTTGGCCCTCCCAAAACACTAAGAGCTCTGTCATAGGCATGGCCACAGGACAATCTGATTGAAGCAAATCTTCAGTTGTTCTCTTCCCAGATGAAGTAGGCTGTGTTGAGTAGACAATAAAAACTAACCAGGATAGTTTTCCTCTAGAGCCCTCCCCAAACCCCCAAAATTTACCAAGGCGGTAAATGTGATGAGCATGCAGAAGGCACTGTAAACATGGAGCTTGTAAGAAACTGAATAGAGAGGGCAGAAGTGGGAAGTAGCTTGGGAAGCAGGGCTGGAAGAGGAAGGAGCTAACATGTTGATGCACCAGGACCTTCAAAGCCAGGCCTGAGTGTGGGAGATGGAGCTCGGAGTTGGGCTGAGACCCTCACAGAAGGACTGGCCTTTGAAGTGAAAGTTTAGTTTGAAGAAAAATCAAATATTTACACAGGCAGGTGTCGGGGTGGGGTACCTTGTCCTGGGCAACTAGTGAAGAGGTCAACCTCTCCACTAGATATCTGTATCCCCCAGACTTCCCCCTCTGTGATTTAGGATTTTGAATTTATAATACCTATGCAATACAGAAACTTTACACTGAAAATAGGTTTAAAAGTTAGTTATAGAGCAATGGTATCCCTGTGTTGCTAAAACCAAAACCTTGCCGGAGAGCTATGTCCTCTGCCCAGGCAATCTGGGACACCGCAGATGAAATCTCCCCTGGAGATGAACTTGTAAGCCTAAGACAGAAAACCTTTATAGAAATAATTCACCACAAGCAAGAGATGGCAGACAAAGCCAGCAAGAACTTAAGGTGACAAGGAAACCAGACAGAAATTAGGCATAATGTGTAAACCTAAGACACAAAAGACAAAGTCTAAGGTAAGAAAAAGCCCTGTCTTCAGAAGAGCCAAATGCGGAAGCCAGGCGTGGCAGTCCACAGCTGTGGCACTGATACGTGGGAGGCAGAGGACCATTTTAACCCCGAAGTCAAGACCAGCCTTGGAAAACAGCAAAGCTGTATGATTAAGAAAAAAATGAATAAATATAGATAAATGAAGAATTATGGGAAACAGTACGATTATGTCGCAAATTATCTACAATTTTTGTCTAAGAATACTGAAACTACAGAAGGGGGAAAAAAGCATATTAGAGGGAAGGAAAAATAAGTAGTGACCTTATGGCGTGTTTTATAAGTCAGCCACAGTCTCTGAACGTCACCACCTGCTTAGAAACTGTCTATTAACTGCCACAAGCTGTAGACGACATTAGGACTACAAATTAATCCAGTCCTTTCACACTAGAGAAACTTGTAATCTAGCCCCCATTTTCCTAATGCAGGGCGTTAGAACAGGGGATAACAGCAGAGTGACAGTGACAGCCACGATGCCAAAGGCTGGGGGACATTATCAAACGTCATTGGGAATCCTCCCCACACCCTCCTATTATGAACAAGTCCGGATAGGAAGTC